AACCTTATCAAAGGCTTGGGCTACGTCTAGAAATACTCCGCAGCAATATTTGTTTTCTTCCAACGCCTTGCTTATTACGTTTGTGACACGATGAACTTGATCAATAGTAGAATGTTTGTTCCGAAACCCATACTGATGATCTGGTATGAGGTGCCTTTCTTCTATAAGCGGTTTTAMACGTTTAAGAAGAAGCTTTTCAAAGCGTTTCGACATACTTGGGAGAAGCGATATCGGTCTGTATGAGGTAGCTCGTTCTGGTGGCTTACCGGGTTTCAGTAGCATGATCACTTGTGCCTTTTTCCATTGCTTAGGAAAACTTTCTAGTCGTAGGATTGCGTTGTATATATGTGTTAAAAGGATTATCGCTTTCTTCGGTAGCTCTTTAAGTATTCGCGGACTGATCTCATCGAAACCAGGTGCCTTTTTTTGGGTTGATGTTGTTATCAATTTCATAGGAAACTTCTAGAGGAGTAAAAAACCGTATTTTTTCTCTTGTTCCATTGAGCGGTTGACATTGTATCATATCAAGTTCAGAAGCGATATTATTTGATTGAAATACACTCTCAAGATGTTGAGCGTATACTTCGGCCTTTATCATTCTCACTGCGTGCCCAAGTACCGTCTACCTTACGGATAGGTGGAACATGTTCACGAGGTCTTTTAATGCGTCTTGTAGCTTTCCACAGAGAGTAATCTGTATCATCCGTTGCGGATAAGCCACTCAGATAAGATTTGAATGTTTAGTTTTTCATTTCGTTGATTTTCTCTCGTAAAATTTTACTAATATGATTCCATTTGGTTTTATCCGCTGGATGTCGCGTTCTATGCTAGGTTCTTCTCGCCTTACGGTTTTGTTGAACAAGTWMTCTTATTTCAATTGGGTAAGTGGTCTCCCGATTAATTCCTTCATGAATTATGGGTGTGGCCACTCTTGCTGCCTCAGCAAGTCATTAGTTAATTTTTGCACTACCGCATCAATGTCTGATGATGTTTTTAGCTTAACTGAAAGAGTGATGGTTTCTTCGAGAGCACTCCTAAAGAGATCCCMATCAGTTCTTTTGTTTGTAAGAAAGATTTTTCTTTCTTTTGTTATGACATTTGAGCTTAGTGAAAGTAACACGGGAATATGATCAGAAGATAGTTCTATTAGTCCTTCAGCTTCAACATAGAGGAAATATTTTTAACTACGAAAAAGTCTAATAAATCAGGGATTTTATTCRGAYYAGTTGGCCAGTAAGTTGGTTTACTCGTAGAAATTACTTCAGCGTTGATAGTATTGACTGCTTTAAATAGAGCACGTCCTTTCTGAGTGATAAGTCTTGATCCCCAGTAGGYGTGTTTTGCGTTGTAGTCTCCACCGACAATGAATCTGTGTCCTAGCTTTTGAAAAAAATCAATAAACTTAATTTTGTCTGCGCCTCCCTGTGGTGGACAATAAATAGCCGTAACTCTGAGGTCATTGTTGCCATCATTGATGCTTACGGTTGTGGCTTGTAAGTATAGTTCTGAGTGTTTCTCAAGCTCAAAATGTTTAATAGATTCTTTTATG